CACCTTCCACAGTGGTTGCACCAGTTTACACTTCCACCACCAGTGAATAAGGGTTCCAGTTTCTCCACAACATTACCAGCATCTGTTGCTTGCTATTCTGTTAAATTCTGCTGTTCTTACTGGGGTGAGATGATATCTCATATTTGTTTTGATTTGTATCAGTTTTAGAGCTAGGGATTTTGAACATTTTTTCATGTGCTTGTTGGCCATCTGAATGCCTCCTAGGGTCCGCCAGCAGTTTTTCAGAGGCAGTTAATCACACAGGAGGACATTGCCCGTCCTTCTCCCACAGAGCAGCTGGTGGCCTCGAATCGTGTGCTTTTGGGATTGCAACGCGGCTTCTTGCCACCAGTGCTACGTAACAATAGTTTATATAAATAATTGATGTATCACACACACACGAGGACCTAGAATATGATAAAAAATTGGTTCATACATCCAGTAAGATCACTGTGGGCAGAAAGTTGGCCAGCACTCATCACTCCACTCATCCTTCATGCTGACAGAGAACCAACCACAATGACACTTGCAGTTTCAGTTATCAAAGTGGATTCAGACAATCCTTAAAATATCTTTTATCTCCTCTTTCCCCAGGTGGCCTATTGGATAGAGAGTTACACTATCGACAGTTCAAATCTCCTCCTATGTAATTTGTAATCTCTGAAAGCCTGCTGGAGCATTAGCAATAAGCAGGTTATGACTTGATAGCAAGGAGGTATTTTCTGTTTAAAAGGGATGGGGTCCCTCTGGAGAGGTATTAGAGGAATTATTACTGTAAATGTCATTATGTTGCAGAATCCTTCTACCTGGGACTCAACCAGCCCTTCAGTGTGTTCCAGGTCTGAAATAAAGACTTGGCTTCAAGAATTAAGCAAGAGATTTGAACTTTTTATTGGGGTTGTCACTTTCAGACTCGGTCATCACCCTTCTGACTGCCTTTTTACCCTTCAGAGTGCTGTTACACTAACCTCCCTAACATCACGCGATATAACTGTGTGATCATCAATTTCACCTTAGGAGCCATTAGTGTAATTGTGACCCTCAGACTGTTGGGCTGTTAAGAATTACTACTTGGCATCTATTGCTTCAGGGACTTATCATCTCCTTTGCCATCAGCAAGGTAAGGTGCCTAACAATTTCATTGTCCTACCAGCACTGGTTTAGAGAACCTCTGGCTGTTTTTAGAGTCATCAGCTCATGTCTTTATGACCTTGGTAAATGGAGTCTTCTTGGGGAACATAATCTTCTAATGGATCATCCAGATGAAGTCTGTTCCAGCATATCAACTTCTCTCAACTTTTTTATATTCCCTTCCTTCATTAACTGCCACAACCCTGGCAATCCAACTTTGCTCAGTACGGGTCATTACTTTTCCCATGCTTCTACAAACTATCCTGGTAGTGATTTCATACCATCTTGCCAGGATGTTAAATATTTTGAGACAGCTCTTATCTACAATTTAGAGAAACTAGGATGGCAGCTGCTATCAATATCTCCCTTAATTTTATGTTCCAAGCATCCTCAGGCTCCAGCCCCATTCTTTTCTAGCTCCTGCCAGTACACAATGGCCAATTCTTGCATCTTCTTTGACATAATCTGTTTCTTCCCTCTTCTGGTCTAGCACCTCAATTTTTTGTTTATTCTTACATATTGTTATGGAACCTAAGGTGTAGTGGCCAGTTCCTGAGATGGGACTATTGACTAGGGAGGAAAGAGGCCTCTGCATTGTCCTCCAACATAAAGGTGGAGTGATTGCTCTGAATTTTAAGATGTGGTATGGCTTCTGGCTCAGAAACTGCAGGACTGTTGGCAGTAAAAATTTTCAGGGGCCATCAGTCAGCTCTCTCCACTTTACTTGTCAGGGTCTCAGGTTTCCCAGAGCAGTGCCCTGACCTTGGCACAGAGGGTCCACCTCGGTGGACATTGTCTTATCGTTTATTCATTCAGACTATTTGGCTCAAGGCTTGGTCCTGTTTTATTGGGTCTCCTGCTGCCAAAGGGAAAAGGGGTTTTTTTGGGTAGAGCCAGCTGCTCTCTTCTCACCTGGCTTTTAATTGCCTGATACTGCCCTCAGCTGTTCATTATCTTTCTGTATATCAGGAATGGCTTAGAAAGAGCCAACCCCCTGTCTTCACAGCTACAATTTCTCAACATATTTCATTCAGCCTGCTAGTGCATTTCCTTTTACCAATACTCCATCCAAATTCACTGCCAATGTAAGTTGTAACAATTGAATCTTGAGCCAGTGCCTGCCTGGACTCCACCTAACATTCAGGTTCATCTTCTGCCCACAACACAATGAATTTCTGCTACTCCTTTGCCATGTTGTGAGAAGCCGTCAAGGCAAATACAATGAGAGAGACCCTATGAACAACAGATCTGAACCTTGTTCTATCCTGCACCATCCTCACCCTTCCTGACACACAAGAGCCCATTGCAGCAGTCACCATATCAATCCACCTGGTTTAGGGTCTTCCTCTCCTTTGCCGACCCTCTACCCTTTCCAGAATCATGTATTTCTACAAGAAATAGCGCCTCCTAGTAACATGTCCAAATTATGTGAGGCAAAGGCTCATCATCCTTGTCTCCAAAGAACGTTCTGGGTGCACCCTCTCCAAGACATATTTGTTTGTTCATTTGGCAGTCAATGTGCTTTTCTCCAACACCACAGCTCAAAGGCATCAATTCTTTATCATCTCTATTCAAATGAAATAACAGATACAAATGCAAATCCTTTCAACAATAACAAAAGTTCTAAAACTTGAGAACAAGGAATGTAAGTGAAATACTAAATTTATTCAAATAAAAATTACATTTTCTGATAAAACATCTTTACAATAGTATCATTTGTGAATCTGGACCACTGAAAAATGGCTGAATAGTGCCCTTTGTCTCTCTTTTTAGGCATCAAGAAATCAAGAACAGATACTGTTCTGGACATTCACTGGAGGAGAGAGAGAAGTCAATTGATAAAATATATGTGTGTATATATATCATGACTACTTAACATGAAAATTTAGAATAAACAACATACGACTTTTATTCTGTGGACATAAAAGGAAAAATACAGTAATTCATTTTATCCATTAAGTTTTACAAAGTCAGACAGAGTGAGTTGATTTAATAAAAACAACTTAATTTCAAATATATTACCATACTATTTATTTTTCCTGTATATTTATCTAACTGACAAAACTTCTAGATATTAAAAGCAATAACCTAATCCACGATGTTTCAATTTCTCAAATCAATAAAAACCTTATATTTCAAACTCATTTTATTTATGATATAAGCCTGACTGAGTTTCTGTTAGAATGCTATGCCCTACACCGTGCCCTTAAATGAAGCATTAGTCCTCTGCACACCAAGGGCAGGACTTGGGAACATCCACACCCAATTCACCAATCACACAGACTCGCTCCTCTGACACCAGGTGCAAGTAACCCTCCTAGTTCTCTTGCTCCTCATAGTGAGCATAGCCACTGGCATAGGTCCTCCCTAAATTCAAATTAGTAAACAATTCTGATGACTCAGCATCGGAATCCCTTCTGCCTTCGTCATCATCTTCTTCATCTTCTTGTTCTTTGTCTTTATCTTCGTCGTCTTCCTCTTCTTTGTCTTCATCTTCTTCATATTCCTCATCATCTTCTTCATCTTCTTCTGCTTCATATTCATCTTCCTCCTCATCTTGGTAGCTGGTATCCCCACACTTGCCAGATGAAAGGTTCTTCCAATAGGTATCATAGCCAGAAGCTTCATCACCGTCATCACCTCCAGTCTGCCTGCCAAACTTCAGGGAGCGTGCTACAAGACAGAAATTTGACACTCCCTTCATTTCATTCTTCTATGTCCTCATTTCCCTCTATCACAAATAAAATCAAATGAACTTCACTGTTTCTTAATGAAAATGTATCCCATATTTTCCCAATAAAAGGACTTTGGAATCAACATTGAATTTCTCTTCTAATTGGCTGATACTATCTACACTAGTACTACAAATAACAAATATTACAGTGTCATTTCATGAAATCTAAAAAAGATGGAAAGAAAAGTAAGAACAAAAAAGAGGGAAGATCCAGTGTGAAAAACAATACATACAAAACTCTGTAAGGAAACCAACATTAAAAAAAAAAAAGAAAAGTGGGAAAAAACCCAAACCACTTTCTGACAAGTTAAAGATGGGCAGAGTTCAATAGTGATTAATTTTATAAAACATACGATTGTATTAAACAGTGTGAAGCACAATGTACATGAACTTTTCAAGCAAATGAATATAAAATTTTAAAAATCTTTTTTAAAAAAGCACTTTGGAAAAAAAAAACCTCTTTCCAAAGATAAGCTAAATTATGTTAAGAAACAGTCATTTGTTGTTTGGCGTGCTGTCAACACAAAGGTAAACAGTACAAGTCCACCATCTCCGAAGAAGGGTGGACAATGTCCTCCCACGCACTTTACAGCATATAAAACTCTGCTGAAGGGTCAGCTATGGGGTTGGACTCAGTGGTATTCAACAACAACAGAAGCTACACTTCAGTACAGAAGACCAGGAAAACCATCATGCTCACCCCACTGTAAAACTGCACTATGATTAAACAAAGACTTAGAATTATGGCTCTTCTGATATGTGTGGTAAAGAATCTAACTGTACTTTTAAAAACCTGTGTGCTACATTATCATAAGCATGCTGACAGCAATCTATTCTTTCATAAAGAAAAACCATAAAATCATTTTCTATAGTATTTATGCTGCATTAAGTATATCTGTTCAAACATTTAAGAATAACATTAGCATAAATTTTGACTTTCCATGTACTAAAGATTATCAATACTTGAATAGCAACGACTTTAACCACTCAATCATTTAAAATGAAAGCATCCGCAAAACTAGGAAAATGACTTTTTTTGGGAGGTCTTAAATTTCAGTATTTGTTGTGTTATTAATTGAAGAAAAACCAAATATCAAAGTGAATGTAAATAAAAGGTCAAATTAAATCAAAATCCTGCCCATTTATTTCCCAAGACTTTCATTCTGTTTTCAAGAGAACATAATTAACTTTCCAAATAGGAAAAGGCAAAAAGTAAAATAGAAAAACAGCTTTATTTAAGCATGAAAAAAAAAAAAAATCATTGCACTGACATTTTAAAAAGACACTTACTAGACATGCTAAGATCTTTAGTCTCCTGAGTTTCATGTCCACATTTAGGGCAAGGAGGCTGTTTTCCTTTTTCTTGCTTGAACACCTTGCTCCTTGTGTGGTCATCACAGAAACAAGCCTATGTAGGAGAAGATACATTCTTTTAAAATAAATTAGTATTTCAAAAACCATCATTCTAGGTTTCAAGAAAATTTAACATACAGTTTGTGAAAGAAGGAAGCTTAAGTTCAGAGTGCTGGGGCTAACTTCTGATTTCAATGATTTAAGAGAAATGGTTTTCTCTGAGACTACTTTTCTAACAAAGGCCACAGATTTATAGCATACAGGATATGTTATGAGTGAGTTGCTTGCATTCAAAAATAGTATAATTATACCCATCACACCTGTGAGTAGAACCCTGTTTGTAAAGAAAGGGTTTCTGATTAATAGGGTCCTAACAGAGTAAAGTGGAACCTAATCCTAATTCCTGCTGAATGGAGTTATCTGAGAAGGAGAAACAGACAAGGAGAGACAAGAGGAAGAGACCATAAAAGGAGTTCTCTACTAAGGGACACTAAGAAACTCCCAGAGCTCTCAACAAGGAGGGGCCCTGCCTTACTGCACAAGCCTCAATTTGGAATCCTAGCCTCCCAAACTATAAGATAATAAATTATCTATTTCTTAAAGTTACCAAGTCTTTTCTCCCCTCACCCCCTATGCCTAGCAGTACTGAGTAATTGAAGCAGGGCATGACATGCAGACACATTTGTTCTTTAATAAATATTTGCGTTTTCAAGAAGTACTTGATGATATAGTATCGTGTAGATTACCTAACCTTAAGATTATATAATCTGAAGACAGAGAGGTGGAGAGGCAATTACAAGACAATACTGTTTATAAGCGACAAATTGGAATCAGCTCATAGCTGACCCTCCAGCAGGTTTTCAGAGGCAGTAAATCACATGGGAGGAGACTACCCAGCCTTCTCCCACAGAGCACTAGTGGATAGGAACTGTGTCCCTTTGGGATTGTAGCACAACTTCTTACCACTAGGCCATTAAAGCTCTCTAACAAGGCATTATGCTTTGAAAATTAAGTGCAGGGGAGGGGCCTTAAATCTAAGGATTAGATTCTCATAAAATGGGAAATTTTAGCCCTAATGTGAATGAGAATGGGGATATGGCAAGATAAGCAAAAGAGGAAGAAGACTGGTCTAGGTACAAGTACTATACAAAGCTTGAAAGCTTAAGACACTTAAAATGAAAGCCATCTGATAAAACTGGAGTAAAGGTGGGAGACTGATGAAAGATCAGCAAGAATTAGAAGACAGAAGAATAAGAAAGTTATTTTTGAGAAGACTGGAATGTGTCTGTTAAGTAGTCTTTGACAAGCAGAAATGAAGCAGACATGGTTTAAGGAAATACCATTACCGAAATTTTCACTTTACCCAAACTCTTCGTAGCAAGACATTACATACGTAGCAAGTACAAATGTACTGACTTTAAATAAAATTTTCATTTTCATCAGCATGTTCCCCATATATTTAACATGTAAAAATACTGTGCCCAGATTCAGGAGACTTGTGTGCTAGTGTCAACTCTACTATAAAGCAAGAAACCAAAGGCCTTATCTATGGAAAATCACAGTAAGTATTTTCAACCTTATATCCAGAAGACTGTAATGATATCCTGCAAATGTAATTATTGTTGTTACGTCCACTGAGTCAGGACCGACGCACTGCTGACTCTCCAGTGAGCTTTCAGAGGTGTAAACTGCACAGGAGGTGCCTCATCTTTCTCCAGTGGAGCCACTGGTGGACTTAAACTACTTGTCTTCGTGTTGACAATGCATTTCCTTACCAGTGGGCCACCAGAGCTCCCTAACTTTCACTGTGGTTGTAAATACTCCAAGACTATCAGATGAGTAGAGAGATTAAAAAATAAACAGGAAGAGGCATAAATATACCTTACAACGGAGACAGGAATGTTGGCCAAGCCGATTACATGAAACACCTATAAAAGAAAAGCACAGATTATGAACATTCAAAGTTGGGGGGGGGGGAAATGCCATAGTTTTATAACTGACATAGTGTCTCTGGAAATCATTTTTGTTTTATTATAATAAAAGCAACCAAGCCCACTGTCATCAAGTAGGTTCTAACTCATAGCACTCTCCATAGGGTTTGTTATTGTGACCTCGAGTTGCCTGTACAATAGCCTGTACAATAGTTACAGTACAACAGCTCTCAACCTTGCCTAAACTGAGCCAGTCTCACTGATTCAGACACACCTTATTTCATTGCCCTAGTTTCTGGGTAAATCCATTTTATCCTGAATCTTCCTCTCCTGTACTGTCCCTCCACCCTTCCAAGCATGATGCCCTTCTCCACGGACTAGTCCCTCCTGGCCATGTGCCCAAGGTATGTAAGATGAAGCTTCAAAATCTCTGCCTCCAAGAGGAAACTTGGTTTCACTCACTAGAAGACAGATATGTTTGTTCTCCTGGTGGTTCATGATATGTTCAATACTCTTCTCCAGCACCATAACTTCATCTGTCATCCTTAGTCACTGACCACCGCTAGCTCTCTGATGCATACTAATAACTGTACAGACCACGGCCTGGATCAGGTAAAACTTAGTCCCTAGACTGGCATCATTACTCTAGCACTTTGGAGAGATCCCAAACAGCTGACTTTCCCAAGGTAATTTGTATTTTGATCTCCTGACTGCTAGTGCTGCCAAGAGGGTTGATTGTGGAGGCACATGAAGAACTTCAATCTCTTCTCTATCATGGTACTGCCAATTGGCCCAGTGATGAGAATCTATGTCTTCTTGATGTTGAGCTTCAAACCATATTGAAGATTACAGTTCTTGACCTTCTGCATCAAATGTTTCAGATCATCTTCAGTTTTGGCAAGCAAGAATGTGTCATCTGAATATCACTGGTTGTTGATGAGTCTTCCTCCAATCCTCATGCCACATTCCTCCTCATAAATTCCAGTCTCCTGAATGAGCTGTTTCACAAATTAATTAAAAAGGTATATAGACATGACACATCCTGACACACTCCTTTCCCAATTTTGAACCATGCAGTATTTCTTTGCTCTGCTCTGAGGACTGCTTCCTGGTCCAAATACAGATTTTACATGTTGTTGTTGTTAAGTGCCGTCGAGTCGCTTGCGACTCACAACAGACCTAAACCCTGTTCTATCCTGTGCCAATCTCACTGCCTCTGACACACCCATCCTGATTACCCCAGTCACTGAATCAATCCACCTCATAGAGGGTCTTCCCCTTCTGCGCCGTCCCTCCACCCTCCCAAGCATGATGTCCCTCTCCAAGGACCTCTCCTCTCCCTCCTTACAACATGTCCAAAGTATGTCAGACGAAGCCTCAGAATTCTTGCCTCCAAGGAGCAGCCTGGTTTAACCCTCTCCAGGATTATTCTGAGATTCACATTCTTCTCTAGGTTAGCCACAATTTGTTGTGATCCACACAGTCAATGATATGACATTTCTCTGGTACTCTTCGTTTTCTGCCAAGATCCATCTGATATGGGGAATAATGTCTCCAATGCCATGACTTCCTCTAAACTTAGCTTTTATTTCTGGTACTTCTCTGTGAGTGTTCTGTTCCAGTCATTTCTGGATAATGTGCAGCAGGATTTTAATGTGTGATATTAATGATATTGTTCGATAATTTCCACTCTGTCAGGTCACTTTTTTTTTGGAATGGGAATAAATATGGATCTCTTCCAGTTGGTCAGGTAGCTGTCCTTCAGATTTCTTGGCACAATCTGGTAGTCACATCCAGGGCAGCTTCTGTTTGCTGAAATATGTCAATTGGTATTCTATCCATTCCTGGGACCTTGGGGTTTTTTGGTCAACTCTTTCAGAGCAGCCTGAAATTCCTTCTTCATCACCATTTCTTGATTATATGTTATTTCATTAAATTCTTCTGTGTGAGACTTTTTTTTTGGTATAGTGACCTTGTGTACTTCTTCCATTCTTTCAATGCTTCCTGGATCATTCAATAATCTGCCCAAAGCATCCTTAAGTATTATAAAGCAAGGCTAGAATTTGTCCTTTAGTTCCTCCAGCTTATGATATGCTAAGCAAATTTGACGCTTTTTAAAATTTTGATTTCTAACTCTAGCCCTTTGCACATTTCACTATAATACTTTGTCTTCCTGAGCTGTGCTTTGAAATCTTCTGTTCAGCTCCTTAACTTTCTGCTGCCTTTCTTTTACTCTGGCTTCTAGATGTATTAGTGCAATATTTTACCAGGGTATAAATCTTTATGAGATTTACCTCCCATGATTTAATACGTTATGCCACTGAGGTAGAATCCTCAATCCAAAAACAGAATAACAACAATCACACCACCTAACATTCCTTCATTGCTATAGCTCTAAGGATTTTCACATTTTCTTCTTTGCTTCCAAATCTAGGAAATGGAAAATAATTTTAGAAAGCTGAAATGGCAAAACATTTTTTATGGCATTAGTGGAATCTCTTTCCCTAATGATAAAATTATTGAAATTGTAAAAGATCAAATATACTCATTTTATATAGTCTCTTTTTGGGGCACTGGTACTCTCACTTTCTGCACAGCTTTTGATAAGAGAAAGACAAAACGGGGTGACTATGAAGAGAAAGAGAAGTGCAAGGGGCACTAAAACAGATGGGGGAAAAAACCCTCAAAATTATTTTCTCTGTAATTACTTTATAAGCACATTATTACTGTTTGCCTAAAATTTGTGAATACTAAATTTAAATGCAAATAGATTAGGGAAGTATGTGTAATATATGCGGTTATGGGGGACCAGGGGAGGTAACAAACAAAAAAGAAACAAACTAAACTTTATTCTGATGAGATTTGAATATAAATAGTCTTTGAATTTACTGTGAAGATTTGGAAAGAAAAAGAAAAACTAGTAGTTTCATCCTTACAGGTATAACATTTGACCAGATATATGTAGTTCAGGAATTCTTTTCTTCAAGCCTATATGGTTCCTGGGGAATCCCTTCAATGCAAAGAAGCAAATTTTCACTTTTTTAACACACAAAGGTCATGTTTTCAAGGACGAGAATCATTATGGCTTCTTCCTCAACTGTTGTGTTTTCTCCCACACCAATTAAAGTCATTAATTTGGCTGGCTATTTATTGTCTCTTCTCCAGACTAATATCGAAAGTTATATATAAGTATACCAAATTACTCTAGTAATAAACTACATTATTTTCACCAACATGGAAAAAAATCAGAAATTTAAATTATTCTTAATAAATACACCATGAACTGCTAGGAGAACAAACAGGTTTGTCCTGGAGAGGGTGAAGCCAGAATGCTCCTTGGAGTCAAGGATTCTGAAGCTTCATCTGACATACTTTGGGCATG